TATTTTTATATATTTCTTTATATACATTGTGATAAATAATAAAGGATGATAGTCGTAATAAAAGATAATAGCAAAAAGGAGCAAATATACAAGATTCTGTACTTATCATTTCTAGCATTATCTAAAGCATTATAAGAAATTTATTTCTATACAAATTTTGATGTATGCCTCTGATATTAATATTTGCAATACATTCATGCTCGCTTGAAGAATTACAGTCAATATATAAATTCTCTTTGATGTAAATTATCTAATAAATAATTTTCTAATATGGAAGTTGAGAATAATATAAAGACTTTAGATTGAAACGATATGTACAGTAATATACAATAAAGATCAAATATATATATAGTAATACTATAATCTCAAACTGCAAATCAAAAGATTTTAGATAATTCTGAGTCTATTTCCTGATATCATAACACATGTTGTGGCAAAATCCAATGCTGCAGTTAGATGATATCCCATATTTGAGATTACAACTCCATATTCACTCAAAGCAAACATAGAATATACTGAAATTATATATAGTGTGACTTTCTATATAAGATAATAAGAACATTATTTTGCAATAATAATAATGTCAATTAATGTTGCCTTACCTAAAGGTTCACAATATTTATTATGCCTATAAAAGAAGTAACATGCTATTGATATAGAAAATACATTTAACATCATTGATCTCCGTTTCCATTTCAAAGAAGTATCATGAAAGTCTTTGGCAATATTCAGACAACTCCTCATAATATAATACGCTAAGAACATGTGTATAAAAGATGTTAACAAGAACATTACGAAAGACATTTTATGAAATGCTGTAAGAAAAATAATATAAATTAATCATCATATATCTCGTGTAAAATACTTGTATGCATATTGATGGAAATTTTTATATGCACTCTCTTACATACTGTAATTCTCATCGGAAGTCCAAAAGCTCAGTGTCACGAGAGATGTATTTTCAATGGCATACATAACAAGCGCAACATTGCTTAAATATCGCGCCCATATGTAAACATGTTCTTTATAGTAACGATAGTACATCATAAATACTAAAGTTCTCACTATTGCTTGCAGCGCTATGGCAGTTTTCCAGACGTCTCTTTGAGGCCTGTAATGACCAATGGCCGCCGAGACAGATGGTAAAAAATTATACACCTATAAGAATTACACATCAGGGAAGAGAAAATTATTTTTCATGAATATAGCTTTCCCCTTATGTGTCAAAAACACTGTTATTTCAAGATATCTGCTAAATCTCTTAATTAACGCTATAAAGTTTCTTTCAACACCCAAGATATGTTGAAATAAGATATTCTTCATACTAGAAATTTATCATAAAAATAATCATTTATGCAAAGTCATGGAAGATGATTCCAGCCTTGTGTGTGTATGAGTGGGTGAGTGCGTGAACTATACAAAAAGACAGTCATTACTGTTTCGCGCAATAATCGTACCTGGCAATGAGTGGAGGTAGAATGTTCGAAATTATATAGGACCGACCAGGCGACGCAAAAGACAAACGCCAGGAACGGCAGTGACACGGTAAGCCATGCCACTTTGGAAAACGGTACGACGACGCGGATCTTGGACATATCCTCCTCCGTGGTCAAGGGGATATAATCTGACCCTAATCTAAGCTTGCTCATGATATATTAGACTCTCGGCCGTCCGCAATCACTCTACGTCATAACGCGCGTGAACGCGATAATAAGGTTAATTCGTCGATATGTAAACACTAACGGAGCGCGCTTCTTTCGTATTTTCTTGGACGTACATCCGCGGTACGGACGCGAGATTCGCATCCCGATCGAAGGAAACGATCGTACGCGACGATCGGCTTGGTCTCGCGAGATGATAAACGAAATAGCATTGCACACACTGTTGTGAGGTTAGGCTACCGAATTGATCGAACACGAGTTCGACGCATTCCCGTTGCCGCAACGCCGTTTGCGACGAATTTCTTTTCGCTCCTGCGCGCCAGATGGCTCCTCATCACAAAAAAAAAAAATTCAAAGCGACATGAAACTCTCCTCGAAGGGCTTAGATTTTGATGCGTTAAAAATATATACATATATATTTTTGCCGTATATTTTTTCATAATATACATATTTTCGAAATTATATAGTTTATATAAATTCCCCTCCCCCCTAAAATCTTCTATGGAAAGTTTTCGTCATGTCAATTGTGAGATATGATATATTTTTTCAGAGCACAAATTTTTAACATTGTAGAAAGCGCGTTATTCTTCTCGTCACTATATTTGCTGTACTCGTTATTTATTTATTATGCGGGAGCCTAATTTTCTCGTTCTTATATTCTCAAATTCAAAAGAATACCCCAACATCATAAGCATATATAAAATATATTAAAAATTATTAAAATATTAAATATTATAAAAGCAAAATACAAAAATGCGATCTTTTTTGGTTCTTTTCGGGTAAGTTCGGCTAATGCTATATATTGTAGAATAGAATTATAAATCAAAAAACGTAAAACATATCGAAAGTTCATTAAGGTGATGCCGGACCGTCCTGTTTTACCGGCCATAATAATTTACTTTGCAGACCGAAATTTTTTTATTGGTTACATGAAATAAGAAATCCTTTTCCACGATTAAAGTATATACATCAACAAAGTGGGAACCTTGCGCCTTTATGTTAAAAACGAAGAAAAGTTAAAAAGTTACAGATTTTTTATCGGCTTCTTGCGTCAGGTCGTAACAATATTTGCTTAATATAAAAGTTGTGCAGTTTGTA